GGCCGCGGCCGCGCTCCGCGCGGCGGCCGCGGGCGTCTCGGACGGCGCGTCGGGCAGGGGCTTCTCGCGCGCGCCCGCGTCGCCCGGCGCGACGTAGAAATTCGCGAGCGCGCCGACCGCGTCCTCGACGTAGCGGACGTCGACGGGGAACGTCCGGCCCGGCACGTCGAGCGCCGCCGCGCCGCCGAAGTAGGCCCGGAGCGGGCCGACGTCGACCGTCGCCGACATCAACACGACGCGGGGCGCGGCGCCGCGGCCCACGGCGCGCTTGAGGACGAGGAGCAGCAGGTCGACGTCCGACGACCGCTCGTGGACCTCGTCGACGACGACGTGCGTGTAGCGCGCGAGCGCGCCGGGCTCCTGGAGCCGCCGCAGGAGCGCGCCGGTCGTGACGTACTCCAGGGGCGTCTCGCCGCGGCGCCGGCTCTCGCCGCGGACCGCGTAGCCCACGAGCCCGCCGAGCGCGGCGCCGTCGCCGTCGCCGCCGCCCGCCCACTCGGCCGCGACGCGGCGCGCGAGCGCCGTCGCCGCGAGGCGCCGCGGCTCGCAGACGACGACGCGGACCGCGCCCGCGCCGCCGTCGGCCGCGGCCTCGACGAGGAGCCGGGGCAGCTGCGTCGACTTGCCGCAGCCCGTCGCGCCGCGGACGACGGCGACGGGCGCCGCGCACGCGGCGACGAGCGCGTCGCGGTGCTGGAACGCGGGCAGCGGCGCGCGGAGCGCGTCGCTCGCCGCGCCGGCCGACGCGCGGAGCTTCGCGAGCTCGCCGCGCACCCAGTCGCCGTTCGGCGCCGGCGGCGGCGCCGCCGCGGCGCCGGGCGCCGTCGCCGCATCATCGGCCTCGGCGCCGTGCGCGGCGAGGTAGGCGTCGACGAGGTCGCGCTCCCGCTTCGTGAACCGGAACTCGACCGGCGGCGGCAGCACCGTGGCCATTGCGCTTTGCTGGCACGGGCGTGTGCTCAAGCTGCGCGCGCTCTCAGTCTTTGTTGTTGCAGACGCAGCGCTCAGCAGCGCGCGCGGCTAGCCAAAGCGCCCATCCTCGCCATCCGTCGTCGCTGTTGAACTTCACATTGAAGGTCAAGTGCCTTAAGCCCCTCACCCGAGGTCTAGTTGATCGTCGCGAGGAGCGCGCCCTCGACGACCTTGGCGCCCGCGTCGACTTTGAGCGCGAGGGTGCCCGCCCGGTGGCACTTGACCGCGACCTCCATCTTCATGGCGCTGACGACGCAGAGGTCGTCGCCCGCGGCGACGGCGGCGCCGTCCGCCGCGAGGACCTTGTCCACGGCGCCCGGCATGGGCGCCGCGACGTGGGCAGCGTCGCCGGCGTCGGCCATGGGCCCGTCGAACTCGCCCTCGGGCGCCGGGTTCTTGACCTCGACGCGCTGCTCGGCGCCGTTGACGTCGAAGACGAGCGTGCGCATGCGGCCGGCCTTGAGCGGGCCGACGCGCTTCAGCGTGACGTCGACGTCGACGACGGCGTCCACCGCGTCGACGCCGCACTCGAGCTTCGCCAGGGGCGCGGGCAGCGACGCGAGGCGCGCGGTCTGGCCCACGGCGAGGCCGTGGAGGTAGACCGGCGTGGGCAGGTAGACGGACACGCACGTCTCGTCGACGCAGAAGCGCATGAAGTCGTCGAAGACCTTGGGGTAGAGCACGGACGCCATGGTCCGCTCCGCGTCGAGGGGGCGGCCGTGCGCCGCCGCGAGCCGCGCGGCCTCCGCGCCGAAATCCGCGGGCGGCAGCGCCGCGGACGGCCGCGTCGTCAGCGGCTTCCGGTCGCCCAGGATCGCCTGCTGCACGTCCGCGGGGAAGCCCCGGTGCGGGAACCCGAGGCGCCCCTCCATGAGGCCGACGACGCTGTCCGGGTAGTCCAGCGTCTTGGAACCGTCGAGCACGTCGGCCGCCGTCATTTTCCGCGTCACCAGATACAACGCCAGATCGCCCACGCACTTCGACGACGGCGTGACCTTGACCACGTCCCCGAAGAGTTTGTTGACGTCGCGGTAGGCGTCGAGCACCTCCTCCCAGCGGTCCGCGAGGCCCATGGACTGGCACTGCACGAAGAGGTTCGCGTACTGGCCGCCCGGGATCTCGTGGTCGAAGACGCGCGCGGAGCCCGCGAGCATGCCCGTCTCGAAGGGCGCGTACATGGCCCGCACCTTGGCCCAGTACACGTCGTAGGGCTCGAGGCGCATGTAGTCGATGCCCGGCGCCCGCTCCAGGCCCTCCATGGCCGCGCAGAACGCGTTGAGCGACGGCTGGCTCGTGAGGTCCGCCATCGCGGCCGTCGCGAAGTCGACGACGTCGCAGCCCGCGCGCGTCATCTCCAGCGCGACGGCGACGGACGCCGACGACGTGCAGTGCGTGTGGAAGTGCACGGGCAGGTCGCAGACGCCGCGGATCGCCGCGAGGAGCGGCGCGGCCGCCGCGGGCTTCAGGAGCCCCGCCATGTCCTTGATCCCGATCAAGTGCGCGCCCGCCGCGGCGGCCTCGGCGGCGACGCCCGCGTAGTAGGCCACGTCGTAGACGTCGGAAGCGAGGCAGTCCGACGTGTAGCAGACGCAGACCTCCGCGACCTTGCCCGCGGCGCGGACCGCGTCGACGCACGTCCGCATCTGGCCGACGTCGTTGAAGCAGTCGAAGATGCGGAAGACGTCCATGCCGTTGAGCGCCGCGAGGCGCACGAATTCGGTGACGACGTTGTCCGGGTAGGACGTGTAGCCGACGGCGTTCGCGCCGCGGATGAGCATCTGCGTGCAGACGTTCGGCGCCGCCGCGCGCAGCGCGCGGAGCCGGTCCCAGGGGTCCTCCTTGAGGAACCGGTAGGACACGTCGAAGGTCGCGCCGCCCCAGCACTCGAAGGAGAAGGCGTCGGGGAGCAGCGCGGACGCGACGCGCGCGCCGCGGACGAGGTCGAGCGTCCGGACCCTCGTCGCGAGGAGCGACTGGTGCGCGTCGCGCATCGTCGTGTCCGTCACGAGCACGCGGCTCTGCGACCGCACCCAGGCGGCCATGGCCTCGGGCCCGGACCGGTCCAGCACGGTCTTGGCGTTCTCGACGGCCTTGGGCGGCTCGACGGCCGGCGCCGCGGGCCCCTCGAGCGGCGCGTTTACCGGCGCGAGGCCCCGGAACCGCGACCGCTCGCCGCCGACGACCTGGGCCGCGAGGTGGGCCACGAGCTTGCAGGGCGCCGTCGACGGCGCGGCCCGCTTCGGCCGCGCGGCCCCGCGCGCGTCGGCGTCGGCGACCGCGGCCGCGCGCGCGGCCGCGTCGAGCTCCGCGAACTCGCCGAGCGCGCGGTACTTGCCGTGGCGGTCCGCGACGAGCTGGACCGCGTCGAGGGCGCCGAGCTCGCCGAGCGCCGTCGCGACGAAGGCGCCCACGCGCGCGGCCGTCTCCGGGCACCGCGCCGCCGTCTCGCCGACGGCCTCGACGAGGACGGCGTCGACGACGCCGAGCTTCTCGAGCTGGTGCGCGTAGATGCCCTGGGCCTCCGCGAGGGCCTGGCAGTCCGCGGGGAACCGCGCCTTCTTGTCGTCGTCGTCGGCGTAGCGCCCCAAGATGGACGCGGCGCCCTCGGGCGAGATGACGCCGTAGTAGGCCTGCGACAGCATGGCGACGCGGTTGCCCATGGCGATGCCCAGCGCGCCGCCGGAGCCGCCCTCGCCGAGCACCACCGTGATAATGGGCACGGCGAGGCCCGCCATGGCCGTTAGATTCGTCGCGATGGCCTCGGACTGGCCCGCGCCCTCGGCCTCAAAAGACGGCCACGCGCCGCACGTGTCGACGAACGTCACGACGGGCAGGCCGAAGCGCTCGGCGAGGCGGAACAATTTCAGCGCCGTGCGGTAGCCCGCGGGGCTCGGCATGCCGTAGTTGTGGGCCGCGAGCTCCGCGGCGCTGTGGCCCTTGCGGCAGCCTAGCACGACGACGGGCGGCCCCCCGCGGAACGTCGCGAGGCCCCCCGAGAGGCACGCGTCCCGGCCGACGCGGCCGTCGCCGGCGAGCTCCACAAAGTCGGCGAAGAGCAAATCCCGTAAATCCTCGTACTGCGGCCGGTCCAACGCGCGCGACGCGGTGTAGTCCGGCGTCGCCGCGAGGTCCGCCGCCGACGGCGGCGCGGGCGGCGGCGCGGGCGCGGCCGCGGCCCCGCGCGCCGCGAGGCAGGCCGCGACGTCGTGGACGGTCTTTGCCAAGCCCGCGGCGTCGGCCGCGACGACGTCGACGGCGCCCTGGCGGAGGCAGTACTCCGCGGACTGGAACTCCGCCGGACAGGCGGCGTCGTAGTTGGCCTCGTCCGCGTCGAACATGGTGTTGAGGATGACGCCCGGCCCCGCGAAGCCGATGCGCGCGCCCGCGACGGCGACCTTGACGTCCGCCTGCATCGCGTAGGACGCCGACACGCCGCCGTAGGTCGGGTCCTCGAGCACGCTCACGAACGGGAGGCCCGCGCGGCGGTGCGCGGCGACGGCGACGCTGACCTTGGCCATCTGCATGAGGCTCAGCGTGCCCTCCTGCATGCGCGCGCCGCCCGTGCGGCACGCGACGACGACGCAGAGCCGCCGCTCCGTGGCGAGCTCGAACGCGCGCGCGACGCGCTCGCCCTCGGCGCAGCCGAGGCTCCCGCCGAGGAACGCGAAGTCGTGCTGCACCCAGACGACGGCGACGCCGCTCGGCGCGAGCGACCGCACGCGGACCCGGACGGCGCAGTGCTGCTTCGTCTTCTTCACGGCGTCGAGGAGCTGGTCGCCGTAGGACCGGCCGCCGAAGCCGAAGCCGAGGAAATCCTTGCTGCAAACCTCGCCGAAGAGCTCCTCGCCCTCCTCGCCGCCGCCGTCGACGCCGTCGGGCTGGGGCACCGTCGGGTCCGGGGACTTGTCGGCGCCGAGCGGGCCGGCCTCGCCGAAGGTCGACGTGCGGCGCGGCGCGGCGGCCATGGTTCTTGCCGCGAGAGGCGAAGGCCAGAGCTTGTGGAGATCGAGCTCGAGATCTCGAGAGCGAGGCACGACGGTGCCGTTTGCGTTGACGCTGAAAAAAATCAGCGCACAACGACGAAGTGCTTTGGGCTGCCCTCGCGCCGCACCGCCGCCGCGCCGCCCTCCGTGACCTCGGGGGCTCGCCGGTGTCGGTTCGTGGCATGGCCCAGGCCGCCGTGACGGCCATCGCCGACGGCGACGCCTTCGCCGAGTTCCTAGAGAAGAGCGAGACCTTTTTGCTCGTCATCGACTGCCACCAGAACTGGTGCGGCCCCTGCGACACGGTGAAGCCGACGTACAATTCGATCTTCAACGAGCTCAAGGACTGCGAGGACCGCGTCCTCTTCCTCACGGCGAACCTCGGCGAGCTCACGCCCCAGGTCGGGGAGCTCCTGAAGACGAAGCCCACGGACCTCGACCTCGCGAACCACGGCTGCATGCCCTTCTTCCTCATCGTCAAGGCCAAGGCCATCGTCAACACCATCTTCGGCGCCGACGTGCCCAGCCTCAAGGAGGCCGTCATCGCCCAGGCGCCCATGCCCCAAAAGGACGAGTAGGCGCGCGGGCTAGCCCGCGCGGGGGGCCCTCGACGCGGGGGGGAGGGGGAGGCGTCGGGTCGGGCGCTCGGCGCGCGACGTCCGCGGCGCGGTGCGAGCGCGGCTCGACGCACGTTACGCGCGCCTAGTTGCGACTCCGGTCGCCGCGGACCGTCGCGAGCGCGTGGTCGTCCGTGAGCTCGGCGACGTCGGTGACGAAGGTCGACGCGTGGAAGGGCGAGAACGCGGCCTTGACGAGGCCCGTGAGGCAGGCGAGCTGGCCCTTGAGGCTCGGCTTGACGGACTCCGCGTGGCAGGAGACGAAGAGGAACTTCGTCGTCGTCGAGCGGTCGTGCGCGTCCGCGAGGCGCACGAGGCCGTAGGCGTAGGCGTCGCGCGGGAACGCGGCGCGCAGGCCGCCGAGCCCGCCCGCGCCGGAGCCGACGAGCTCGAGCCGCGTCGAGCCGCGGAACGCGGCGACGGCCCAGTCGGCGTCGTTCCCGTCGTCGCGCACGGCGTCCAACGCCGAGCGGATCGCCGCCTCGTCGGCGTCGAGCGTCGCCTGCTTGACGACGCCGCCGACGGTCGTCGCCGCGGCCAAAGCGTGGACCGCGCGGCGGTCGCCGGGCGGCAGCTTCAGGTCCTTGGCCGCGGCGGCCCCGTCCGTGACGCTGGAGATCGTCCCCGTGAGCTTGCCAATGTGCCGCTTGACGTCCGCGTCCGAGAGCTCGTCGCGCGCGCTCAGGAAGAAGTCGTACTGGTAGGGGAAGTGTTCCCGGATCGCCTTCGTCACGGCGCCCTTGTGCGTGGCGATCTTGGCCTTCCGCGTCGGCGGCAGGCCCTCGGGCTGGAAGACGAAGAAGCAGAATTTTTTCGTGGTGATCGCGCCGACCTGGTCCTCGGAGACGTCGTGCGACTCCTCCGTCGTGAAGACCGCGTAGGACACGCTGTCGTCGGGGCAGGCCTCCAGGGCCGCGGCGACGCCGCCGCGGTCGCCGCCGGCGCCGAAGGCCAGCGTCTTCACGTCGGCGTAGCGCCAGAGCGCCCAGGCGCCCGCGGCGCCGAGCTTCACCGCGCCGAGCCGCTCCGCGAGCTCGGCCTCGTCGCCGAAGGCGACGGCCGCGCCGCGCGCGCGGCCCTGGCCCGCGTCGGCGCCCGTGCCCGTGGGCAAGAAGCTCGCGGCCTTTTGGTTCAGCAGCGACCCGGCCGTCATCTGGCCCGTCGCCGCGAAGGTCGCCTTCTCGTTGCCCGTCTTGTCCGTCGTGCCCGACACGTCGCCGAGGAGCGCCTGGACCGCGGCGTCCGTGAGCGCCCCGGCGTCGTCGGCCTCGATGTCGCAGTGGTAGGGGCTCAAGGCTTTTTTGATCTTGCCCTCGAGGATGCCGATCTTCATCTTCCGCGCGAGCGGGATGACCTCGGGCCGCCAGTGCACGTAGACGAACTTGACCGTCTCCGCCTTCACGGAGCCCGCGGTGTCGAAGAGGAAGCTCGCGCGCACGAGGCCGTAGGCGACGTCGCCGTCGGGCACGACCGCGGCCAGCGCCTCGATGCCGCCCGTGCCGCTGCCGATGACGGCCATGTCGTCGCACTTCTTCGGGTGGCCGAAGCCGCACAGCACCCAGTCGTCGTCGCAGGCGTTGTCGCGCACGCGCGCGATGGCCTGGGTAGCCGCGTCGACGAACTGCGCCATGCTCTGACCTGCACGCTCCGCTGGTACGAGCTCGTCCTCGGCACGGTGCTCGGCGCCGCGCTCCTCGTGACCGCGGTGTCGACGTGCACGCTGCGCAACACCGATGGAGGGCGGCCTCGTGAGGCGGCTGCCACAAGATCTCAAGATCCACAAGGGACTCGCCGAAAACTGGACCGTCCGGCACCGACTCGTCGCGGCGCCCATCTCGTCGCCGAGCTTGCTGAGCGTCTCGGTCGGGAACGGCTTTCGGTGGCGCGCTGTCTCTCGTCCGTCACCAGACACGATGTCCCGCGAGAAGAAGCCCGTCGTGAGCTACGCCGAGGTCGAGCACTCCGATTGCGACGCGTCGGACAGCGAAGCCCAGTACGCCGCGCAGCAGCAAGCCCGGGGGTACGTCTCGCGCCGTCGGAAGCACGACGTGGAGCAGGCGCTGATCGCGCGCGACGGCGCGTGGGCCGACGCGTACGTCGCGCTCTACGCGACGGCCGACCACGCGGGCGCGGCGCTCGAGCACGTCGAGCCGCGGCCGCCGCCCAAGGCCTGGGACGCCTGGCGCCGCGACCACCCGCGCGAGGCGCCCGAGGAGCGCGACCGGCTCTGGGCGCGGAGCTACGCCGCGCTCCACGCCGCGGCGTCCGCAAACGAGGGCGCCGCGCCGGTCCTCGTGCGGCTCCCGCCGGCGGCGCCCTGGGACGAGTTCCAGCGGGCGGAGCGCGACGCGGAGGACGACGCGCCCGCGCCGAAGAAGAAGAAGAAGAAGCGGTCCAAGCCGACGACAAAGGACGGACGAGCCGAGGCGGCGGACGGCAATGACCGCCGCGACGCGGCGGTTCGCGCCGACGCTCAGGCGTCTCAGGGGCAGCGGCGGCGCCGCGAAGACGCCGAGCGCGGCGAAATATCGAGCCGCTACCGCGGCGTCAAGACCTCGGGCTCCGGGAGGAAATGGGTCGCGTCGATCCAAAAGGGCGGCCCCTCGACGAAGACGTACCTCGGGACCTTCGACGTCGAGGAGGACGCGGCGCGCGCCTACGACGCGCGCGCGCGCTTCCTCGGCGAGCACGCCTGGTGCAACTTCCCCGACGATACGGCGGTCGACGCGCGCGCCCCGGGCACCATCCACGGGCGCTTGCGGTCGAACGGGGAGCCCCTCGAGGGTGGCGAGGTCTAGCTCTGCTGTTAATGCGCGCTGTCGAGCTCGGCGAAGCGCGGCGTCCGGGGCGTCTGCTTGCGCTCGTCGTCCGGGCTGAGGCTCGACTGGGAGCTCTCGGGCCGCCGCGACGGCCGGAGCCCCCAGTCCGCCTCGTCGACGTCGGACGTGAGCGGGCTCTCGGCGACGGTCGACAGGGGCCGCGGCGGCCGCTGGTCCAGGAACCCGAAGGGGTTGCCGCTGGCGGCGTGGCCCCCGTTGGAATTCCGCGCGCGGCGGCTCCGCTCGTCGCGGAGGTTCTCCTCGGCCTTGAAGTTCGCCGCGCGGACGATCGCGGCGACGCGCGTCGGGCTGTGGCGCTTGAACGTGCGCCGCGGGAAGACGGAGAGCCAGGCGACGCCGAAGGCGACGGCGCCCAGCAGCAGCGCCGACGCGCACGCCGCGAGCACGAGCTGGAGCGAGAGCGCCGCGCGCGCGTCGCCGAGGCAGCCCAAACCCCAGCAGCCCGTCTTCAGCCGCGGCGCGAGCACGGCGCCGTTGCGCAGGCTGTATTTGAGCGCGCCGGACGCGCCGCAGACGCCCCAGCGCAGCCCGTAGTTCGGGTCCGGCCCGCCCGCGGCCGGCGGCGGCGCGTCGTCGGCCTCGTAGACGAACGCGACGACGACGTCGCGCTCCCACGCGCCCACGGGCCCGCCCATGTGCGCCGCGAGGCGGCTGTTGAAGAGCGCCGCGTTCTCGACCGTCGCGCCGTCGCTGTCGTCCGCGGCGTCGCCCGCGCCGGGCCGGGCCGCGGGCCCGGACGGCCAGCCGACCTTGCCGACGACGATGTCGAGGTCGCCGTAGCCCTCCGCGTAGAGCGCCCAGCGCACGGCGTCGAGCATGGCGTCGAACAAGTTCCGGTAGGAAGACCCGGAGCCCGCGTCGACGAACTGGGGCGGCGACTCGGGGCCCAGGTCGAAGAGCGCGAACGCGAGCGAGATGTCGTAGTACGACTGGCGCCACGCGAGGTATGGGTCGATCTCGATGACGAAGGGCGACTTCGTGCGCCGGAGCTGCGCGAGGATGGGCGCCAGCGGGCCCGGCGCCGCGAAGAGGCTCGCCGACGGCGGGAACGACGACCGGAGCACGTTGAGCGAGAACGCCGTCGACACGCGGACCGTCGCGTTCATGTTAGCGCACTCGCCCGCGACGTTCCGCGTCGCGTTCGCGAGGGACGTGAGGCGCCAGGCGTCGGCGCCGACGCCGCTCGGCGGCGTCACGCCGACGACGACCAAATCCACGTTGCCCGCGAGCACGGCCGGCGCGAACGCGAGGCACGCGCGCCGCGCGGCGCCCGCGTCGCGCCCGACGGCCTCGACCTCCGCGTCGGGCACCGTGACCGTGATCTTCGCCGACGCGCCGAGCGCGCCGACGGCGTCGCCGATCTCCCGCGCGCCGTAGCTCAAGAGCCGCACGCGGTTCACGCCCTCGCGCCGGAGCCGCCGCAGCATCGGCCCGCGGCCGCTGCTCGGCTTCGCGCGCGGCCGCACGACGACGCCCACGTTCTCGAGCACGCGCACCTCGCTCCAGCCGCGCGACGACGCCGCCGTCGCCCAGAGGGCCTGGACGAGCAGGAGCCGCATCGTGTGCTAAAAAAGATCCGCAACGGTGCGACGCGCCGCGCGGCTGCGCGCGTCGCGCAGCTGCGCTCCGCGGATGGAGCGCCGACGCTGCGCGGTTGCGCCCGCCGCGCAGCGGCTGCCGGTCGGTCGCCGGCGGCGCACGGCGGCGGCGCGACGCGGCGGCGCGTCGCGCGCGGCCGGCTGGCTGGAACTTCGCGAGCCGAGCAAAACTCAAGGTCACATCAAGGAGCACTTTGCGGCACAAAGCATGGCTGAGGTCGAGGCAGAGACGCCGATAGACCCGTCTAACGCAGCGTCCCAGCAGCTGTGAGGCCGCATTCGAAGCGGTCATCATCGCTGGAAAAAAAAATCGGGAAAAAGCAGTAGCCGAAGCGCGCGAGCGAGCATATGGCAGCGCTCTCCGATGCCGCTCGCCACAGCTCACAAAACCCGATGGCAGCGCTCTCTGAAACGCCGCTCGCAACCTTCGACGTGGAACCCGACGGGTCGCCGCTGCCCGCGACCGTCGCCGAGGCGCTGAAGCGCGACGGCGCCGTCGTGCCGCGCCTCGCCGACGGCGACGGCGCGCTCGCGGCCTACGTCGACGACGTCGAGCGGCGCTACCGCGACTGGTTCGCGCGGCCCGAGGGCGCCAAGGAGCGCGACGTCGCCCGCGCCGCCGCGGCGAGTTCCTACGCCGCGGACCGGCGCGAGTGGGTCCACGCGGCGTCGCCGGACGTCGCGGCCGCGCCGGGCGTCGGCGCGGGCGCCGCGACGCTCTTCAAGCTCTGCCGGTCGCTCGCGCTGCGCGTGCTGCGCTGCTGCGCGCCGGGCCTCGAGGCCGTGAAGCGGCGCGACACGTCGGTCCTCGACGCGTTCTCCTACCGCCCCTGCGAAGCGGACGAGCCCCGGTCCATGGGCCGCCACACGGACCCGGGCCTCTTCACCGTCGCCGCGGCGACGCACCCGGGCCTCGAGGTCGCCGCGGGCGGCGGCACCTTCCGCGCCGCGGACGCGCGGGCATACGGCCGGACGGCCTTCGTCGTCCTCGCGGGCGACGCGCTCGAGGACCGGTCCCGCGGCGCGTTCGCCGCGACGGTGCACCGCGTCGCGCCGCACCGGGGCCGCGACCGGCGCCTCGCCTTCATCTTCGAGCTGCGCCGCGACGACGAGGACCGCGATTTTATGGAGTAGCATCAATTTTACAGGGGGGCGCGACGCGAAGGCGCGCGGCGACCTAGTCCTCCTCGTCGTCGGACCCCTCCTCGTCGTCGTAGTCGTAGTCCTCGTCGTCGTCGTCGTCGCAGGCCTCGCCCGTGAACCAGAGGACGGCGTGGGGCACGATCTGGTTCCGGAGCGCGAAGGCGAGCTCGACGTCGTTGTCGATCTTGTCGCGGGCCGCGTCGTCGAACTCCTCGCCGTCGCCCTCGTCCTCGTCGTCGTCGTCGGCGCTGGGGAGCTTGATGGATTTGAAGAAGTGGAAGAAGGAGGGCTTGTCCTCGAGCTTGGCGACGACGCGCGTCTGGCCCGCGTTCTTGCCGCGCTTCGACTTCTGCTTCTTCTTCACCTCGTGGACGCACAGGTTGTCCTTGGCGTCCTTCCACGCGATCTCGCAGCCCGTGATCTTCTCGAGCTCCGGCTGGCCGTTGGCGTCGACGAGGTTCGGGATCGCGTAGGACTTGGTGAGCACGGAGTCGGAGAAGAACGGGTTCTCGGCGAACTCGAACTCGACCGTGAAGCCGGTCAGATCCTCGAAGTCGGCGCAGCGCACGTCCACCAAGTACTTGAGCGCGGCGACGTCGGGCTCCTCGAGGAAGTGCTCGAAGGCCTCGTTGCGGCCCAGCGCGGAGAGCCAGAAGTCGGGCACTCCCACGATCGGGCCGTCGGCCTCGTCCGTCGTCGTCCCCGCCTGCTCCACGGTCGCGCGGTCCTCCTCGCTCAGCGCCGGCTCGAGCTCGCCGCGCACGATCTTCGACCGCTCGCCGTAGATGGGGTCGATCAGCGCCTTGTACTTTTGCTCGAGCGCCGCGCGCTCGACGAGGTACGCCTTCATCTGCGCCTCGCGCTGCTCCTCGAGGGCCTTGAGGCCCAGCACGCGCTGGAGCACCTCCTTGGGCAGCGGCGGGCCCGCCATCTCGTCGTCCTCCTCCTCGTCCTCGTCGTCGTCGTCGCCGCCGCCGGCCCCGGGCGCCGCCGGCGGCGCGAGGTTGAACGAGAAGCCGCCCGCCGGCGCGCCGCCGACGGGCGCCGCGGCGAAGGAGAAGCCGCCGGCGCCCGGCGGCGGGGGCGGCGCGTCCGCCAGGTTCACCTTCGCGAGGTCCTCGTCGACTGGGGTCGCGGCCATTTTGCTGGTCTCGATCGCCGCTTTTTTGTGGAGCTGATGTTGCGGTGATGCCGCCGCTGCACCAAAGTTGACGCCACGCTGCGCCGGCCCACAGCATGTAGGCCTGCAAGTTTACGCCGCGCCTTCGCCCGCGGCCGCGCCCTCGCCCGCCCCCCCGCTTTCCGCGGGCAGGAGCGCCCGCTTGGGGTCGTCGGGCGCCTCGGCCGGCGTCGTCTCGGCGAGGGCGCCCGTGCCCGGCGGCGCGTTGCCCGCGGCGTGGTAGAACGCGATGGCGACGGCGTTGACGCAGGCCACGGCGAGGAACACGGCGCCCGGCACGGCGGAGTCGTAGGTGTGCTGGTACAACACGAGGAAGACGTAGTAGCCCACGAGCGAGGCGACGGTGCAGAGGCCGTAGATCGCGCCCTGGAAGCGGCCCTGGTCGTGGTAGGGGATCTCGTTCGCCATGGGCCCGAACGCGATGGGCAGCACCGCGTAGCCCACGAAGAAAAAGGGCACGCCCGCGAAGAAGAGCGCGGGCGTCGTCACTAGCCCGATGAAGACGGACCCCGCGAGGCTCACGAGGCCCAGGCCCGCGAAGGTGTCCGCGGCGCCGTAGGCCGGCACGAAGACGCGCACGGCGACGTAGGAGCACGCGGGCGCGATCAACGTCGCCTCGAAGAGCACGATCATGATGTCCACGGACCCGAGGCCGAAGACGTCCTCGCCGTAGTACAAGACGATGGACTGGCAGCCGTAGATGCCCACGGCCAGGGCGAAGGTGCCCGCCGCGAGCTTCGCGATGCGCGGCGTCCGGAAGAACAAGCCGACGGATCGCCGCAGGCCCTTGAGCGGGTCGTGCTCCGCTTCGGTTTGAGACCCGCTGCGTCGGAAGCCGGGAGCCGCCGCGTCGGCCTCGGACGCGTCGCCGTGGCGCGTCTCCGGGAAGCGCGCGAGCAACAAGCCGGCCACGGGCAGCAGCAACAGCCCCGAGCACGCCATCGCGAGCCGCAGGCCGACCTCGTCGTAGAGGAGCTCGCCGAGCGCGACGCCGACGACCATGCCCAGCACGGCGTAGGCGTTCAGCAGGGCGTACTCGGACGTCAGCGCCTCCCGCGTCAGCGTTTTTTCCGGCGGCCCGTCGCCGCCGCGGAAGAAGGAATAGGAGAGCCGCGCTAAGGCGTAGTCCGACTCGCCGCCGGCGATGGCGTCGAACTCGCCGCGCGCGACGGTTTCGGTGACGAAGTCGACGATCGTCGCCTTGACGATGGCCGACGTCGCGTCGAGGAGCCCCATCACTAAGCCGCAGCCCAGGAACACCGTCGGGTTCGGGAACGCCGCGATGACGGGGAAGCCCAAAATGTCCACGGCGACGCCGACCATGAGGATGGGCCGCCGGCCGGCGACGTCGCTGAGGGCGCCTAAAATCGGCGTCCCGACGAACTGCGCCAGCGCGTAGCAGATGGCCCAGTACGTCGTCAACGTCACGGACCGGTCGTCGTCGTCGTCGTCGTTGCCGTAGATCTTCTTGCTGACGAAGAAGGTGTAGGTCTCGGCGAAGATGCCCCAGGACATCATGATGCAGAAGAACCAGGCCTGGCCCAGGTGCCGCCCCGTGGCGACCCCATCCGTGCCGACGCCCATGGTCCAAGCTCAGGGAAGGGCTGCCCAAACCATGGCTGGTCCTCGTCAGGCAATCACGGCACGCTGAGAAGTTGAGGTCGGCGCAGCACTCGTTGAGCTTTACCTTGCTCGAAGTTGCACCTCTGCGTCGGCTCGCAATGGCTCCGACCATACCAGCTTTGCTGGCCCTGAGCTGCATCGCGGCGGGCTTCGTCCCGACGCAGGACCGCCGCCGCCCGCTCGCGCTCGCGGCCAAAACCGTGGCCGACATCGTGCCGCCGCCCGAGACCGTCAAAAACACCTACTGGTGCATCCGCCACGGCCAGTCGACGGCCAACGTCGCCAACGTCATCTCGTCGGACCCGGTGCTCGGCAGCGCGTCCCACGAGCTCACGGAGCTCGGCAAGTCGCAGGCGCGGTCCGCGGGCGGCGCGCTCTGGGCGTCGCTCGAGGAATTCGACGGGTCCGTCGACCTCGCCAAGCTCGCGCTCTACAGCTCCAACTTCACGCGCGCGCGGGAGACGAGCCACCTCGTCGCCTTCGAGGTCCAGCGCTTGGCGCAGCTCGCGGCGGGCGACTTCGAGTGCCCGCCGCTCGTCCGCGTGGGCCTCCTCGAGGGCCTGCGCGAGCGGGGCTTCGGCGACCTCGACGGCGCGCCGACGGGCGCCTACGACGACGTCTTCCGGCGCGACCTCGCGGACCCCTTCGACGGCACAAGCGGTGTGGAGCCCGTCGCCGACGTCTGCGCGCGGCTCCGGCGGCTCGTCGACGTGCTCGAGGAACGCCACGCGGGCGACCACGTCGTCCTCACGGCGCACGCGGACACGATCCAGATCTTCCAGACCTGGTTCGCGCGCTGCGACGTGCGGTCCTTCTCCTCCTACCGCTTCGCCAACGGCGAGTGCCGCCGCTGCGACGACGCGGGCGAGTGCCTGCCGGAGCCCGCGCCCATGGCCTCCCAGGCGGGCGGCGCCAAGTAGACTCGAGCGTCGATTACAGGGTCGGCTGGCGGACGAGGGGGCCGAGGCCCGGGGACCCGACGCGGCCGGGCGCGGAGCTCGAGGTGCCGAGGGCGCCGTCGCGCTCCGGCTCGCCGCCGCTGTTGAAGCGGACGATGGCCGGGGCGGACGCGCGGCGGGGCGCGGCGAGGCCCGGCGCGCGGGCCCGCGTCTTCGGCGGGAGGCGGACCTGGTGCTTGAGGAAGAGCGTCCGCTTCGCGATCATCGAGTCGAGGACCTCCGGGAGGTTCGCGAAGGAGTCGAGGAACGCGTCGCGCTGGACGAGGAAGCACTCGACGGGCGTGAGCGTCCGCACGGTGACGAGGGAGCTCGCGCGGACGCCGAGGAGGCAGAGCTCGCCGAAGGACGCGCCGGGCCCGATCGCGACGCGCTCGCCCGGCGTCTCCGCCGCGGCGCCGTCCGCGTCCGGCGGGACCTCGAGCTTCTCGGAGGACCGGCGCCGGGGCACCTTGGGCGCGCCGGGCCCCAGCACGTCGCCGGGCCGCGGCAGGACGCACTCGCAGCTGCCGCTGAGGAGGATGAAGAGCGCGGACGACGGCGACCCCGTCGCGACGACGTCCGTGTCCGGCTCGAACTGGATGGTGCGCACTATCGCTAAGATCTTCCAGAGCGTGCCCTCGGGGAAGTTGGAGAAGAGGGGGTGCGTCTTGACGAAGGTGTGGAGCAGGTAGGACGACACGGCCTCCTGGAGCTGCGGCGCCAAATTCTCGAGGATCGACCGCTCGTCGATCGCGGACCGCGTCGCGTAGAACTGCTTGAAGAAGCGGCGCGTGCGGCGCCTTAGGCTCATCTCGAACTTGTAGTGGCGCATCCACGAGCTGAGCTGGTCCATGCGCTCGAAGTAGATGACGGACTTGGCGTCCGCGGCCGTGACCATCGACGCGACGGTCGCGATGATGTAGGAGTAGAAGGCGACGCCGATCATCATGGCGAAGATGGCGTAGATGCGCTCGGCGTCGGACTCGGGCGTGACGTCGCCGTAGCCCACGGACGTCATCGTCGTGAACGCCCAGTAGAACGCGACGACGTACTGGCGGAACCAGTACCAGTCGTCGGGCGACACGTCGCGGGCCCCCGGCCGGCCGTCGGGCACGTAGGTCTCGAGCCAGCCGGGCCCGGACACGGCCATGAAGCAGGCGAGGAGGTGCGCGAGCACGAACGACGCGACCATCATCGAGAAGCAGCGCACCGCGAACATGGACGACGACGACGCCATGAAGTCCTCGACGGAGTCGGCGAAGGCGCTGTCGCGGTCCGTGAGCTTCATGAGCTTGGCCAGGCGCAGGAGCTTGGAGATCTTGAGCACGCGCGCGAGGCGGACGATGCGCGCGCCGCTGCCGCCGCTGGAGCTCGACTTCGCGGCGAACATGACGACCTCGATGACGGGGGGCATGGAGCTCACGAAGTCGAGGGGGAACCAGGACTGGAGGTAGGCCGTGCGCGCGAGCTTCGGGTCCATGACGAGCGCCTTGTCCTCGTTGACGTAGCCCGTGCGCATGTTGAGGCAGATGTCGACGAGGAAGACGACGTCGACGACGCGGTTGATGGTGCCCAGGGGCGTGCCCCAGGCGAGGACGGCGTCGGGCAGGAAGCTCAGGCTCAAAGGCTCGACCATGGTGATGTAGAGCAGGAAGATCGCGATGAGCAGGTCCCACGCGACGCGGCCGTTTCCCGTCGGCGAGATCATGGGCACCCAGCCCCGGGGCTCCTCGGGGAGCACGTTCGCGTCGGGGTCGTCGTGGCCCGGCACGACGCCGAAGAAGAGCTTCGCGCGCTCCACGTTCCGCCCGTACCACCGCTTGCTCCGCGACGACTCGATGCGCGCGTCCGTCGTCTGCGCCGTCAGCGCCGAAGTCCGGACGCTCGTCCCGGGCGACGTCACCGCGGTCGCGAGCGTCGACGACGTCGGCACCTCGGGCGAGTCGCTCGCGGGCGAGTCGTCCCCAGGCTCCGCGTCCTCGACGGACGCCGCGCCGTCCGAGTCGCCGCCCGAGTCGCTCCCGTCGTCGCCGGCCTTCTCGTCCGACTCGTGCCGCAGGGCCTCCGACGCCTCGCTGAGCACGTCGGCCAGGGCCCGGAGCTTCTCCCGCGCCTCGGCGACCTCGTCGCCCGTGTCCGCCTGCGGGGGGGGGGCGCGCGGTCGGCGTCCGGGGGCCGGGGGATTCGCTCTTCCGCCGAAGAACGCGAGCGCGCGCGCGCGCGACGGTCGAGGCGGGGGGGGCGGGGCGGACGGACGCCGCGGGACGCACGTCGGGCGCGAGCGCCACGACCAGGCCGACGTTCGCCAGGGAGGCCTCTAAAGATGTGAGCGACGTCGTGAACGGGCTGACTGTTAGCGCATTCGCGACGACGTCCCCGCTGCTCGACTTCGTCCGTCGTAATAATGCGTGCGCGACGCCGCGGCCCTTCGACCCCCCGCTCGACTGCTTCTTTTTCATCGCGCGCGACGGCATCTTGGCGTCGCGGGGCGCGTGCGCCGCAACAGACTGTTATACAGCGTCGCAAGCTCACACGGCTCGCCGCTCCGGACCTCAACTCTTGGATTCACGGTTTCGGCATCGAGCCGCCCGCGGACGAGTCCGCCGCGACGCCAGGAGTCCGTAGTTTCCCCACTCCGAAAGACCGAAGGCTCGATTTGAAATCGACCCCCCCAGGCGCGTCAGTTCCGGGCCCCGCGGCTCCTGGGACGCACCCCACCGGTAGGGCGCGACCCCCGGGGGTCTGAGGAGTCGCTCCGTGCGTTTGTCCCGTTTTTTTGCTTCGTGTCCCGTACTCGTCCTGCCGCTCTACGGTCGAACCATCGTTTATCCCCGGCAGGACGTCGAGTATCTGGATTAGTTAGGCGCTCGAAGCTGCTATGGCAGCTGATGGAATCTCCACCTTAGAGGGCCCCGTGCTCCTCGAATATGCAGCGACGTGCAACGATCCCAGCGGCTTTGAGGTCCGCAAACATGTGGGTGAGGCACATGAAAAGACGCGACATCCGGACGATTGCGAGGTGGCGCAAACGGGCAGCCTCAGGGGGTGGAATGGGGCGCGGCAGCTTCCCCCGACCCGAATTTCGGTCGCCTTCGAGTCACAGAGCGTCGGGAATCGTTCGTCATGAGGGCGATCAGATGCCCTCGCGGCAGCCCTTCGGCTCGAGCCGATTTGATCGAGATCACCTCACCGGCTCCGGGAGGCGCGCGGCGCCGCGGGTGACACGGCGCTCACTGCGCAATGCATGCGGCGTTCGGGCCGCGGCAACCTTGACAGGCCACTCGGGAGGGACATTCCAGGCGGTGTTTACTCGAGATGCCGCGGCCCGCTCGAGCCCTGGAACTAAGTTGGGCCTCTCGTCGGTCGCCCCCCACCATTAACGGCCGTTCTCGTCATCCACGGGCTGCCCCGACGCGAACTAAGTTGCTCGCCTTCGACCGATGGTCTTTCCCGAGCGACTCGCACCCGGGCCCGAGGCGCGGCAAGGTCCACAGACCGAGCGCCGCGCCAAGTCCTGGAACCGCTGCATCGGCTAGCGAAAGACGCGTTTTAGCCCAGATCTGACAAAACGAGCAAAGCCTGGGGGGGCTGATCTCAGATCAAGCCCGAATCGCCGACACCTGTAGGTTCGCGTCTAGGCGTGCGCGCGCGGCCCCGAGCAAACATATCCTAGTTAGGCTAGTAAAAAAGGCGACCGTTGAGACGTCGATGTCGGTGAGACGATCTTGGCTCCTGACACTCCCGGGAGCACGATGGACCTTCGGGAGGGCAGCCGCCCGCCGCCGCTCTGGGCCTACGGGTCCGAGGAGGAGGAGGAGGACC